CAAAACTTGTATATTCTGCAAGAAGATAGATAAAATAACTTAAGGGTTTTGCAAGGTCAGTGACATAAACATCAAATGATGTAAAACATATCTCAAAGATGAATGACATATAAGTTACTCTTGCATAAATGTGAGAGCAATTAATCTCAGGATGAAAGTAATCGCAGGTCGCGGTGGGTGGGCGAGGGGTCGTCGCGGCGGTCGACTCGTGAGAGAGAGAGAGAGAGAGAGAGAGAGAGAGCAGGGTTTCTTTAAAGTCAGGAAATAATAAAAAAAGACTCAGACGCCCAGACCCGCCTAGGCCGATTTTTCGAACACTGCATCTGAATTATATAGTTGAAATGAAAATAGAACACTAGAGGTTACTTTGGAAGGTCATGAAAACAGAACACATACACAGATATACGAAGGTACAAACTTCTACTGAAATAACACACAAAGATGCATAATTTCACTCCCACACTGGAACCCAAATGCCTCCACCTCCATTTATACCCCTCTAATTCATAACAGCATAAAATTTAACAACAAACCCAAATGAAGTGATGGAGAAAAGAGTGATACCGGAGAGGCCAAGCGAGAGCAGGGGATTTAGGGGAGAGAGACCAGTGAAGGACCCAAATTGGGGTTTGTGGAGAGACTGGTTGAGACTGACGCTGAGGTGCAGGCTCCGATGCCCGCATGGTGAAGAAGACGAAGATGCAGAAACCGTACACCTATCTGGTGTTGAAGGCAGCGCCGACCTCAGAGACGCCATGCTCCATCTGCTGCTAACACTTTCCACTGTTCCAGTTGCCGTTGCCAACGCCATTGCCATCGCCATTCCCAAACCATACAAAACAGTGTCTTTTGCTCCTCTTCTTTTCCCAAATCTCTTATCTATGAGCCATGGATTCTGGATAAGGCCATAGGAAAAGTGGGTACTGGGTAGTGGGTTAGGGCTTTTCTTGAGGCCCAAGTTCCAATTTTTTCAATTTGGGCCTTTCCAAAAATCTTTGCCCCAATTGGCCAAAAAATAAAGTCTATCTGGTACTAATATTATAAGGAGAAAGATACATAATTGGAAGTAAAAAGTGGTCCCCACAGACTGTAACAACAGCAAAGAGGAGGGAGGAGAAGATCCACAGCCGCAGGTCCATCGCCATCACGGCTCTCATCACAAAGTTTAAGGAGAGAAAGAGGGCAGGCCAGGTTTTAAAGTTTGAACCTTGCAGAAGTGCCACTTGGAGAAGGAAACTAGGATTTTCTTCACCTTTTTATGCTCTACTGTTTGTACTTAAAAGCGTTATTTCTTTTGCTTCCTCGTAGTTAAATACTAATTACTTACTAATTAAGTGCTAAGCACAGTGAGAGAGAGGGAGAGAGAAAGAGAGAGAGAGAGAGAGAGAGAGAGAAAGAGAAAGAGGAAGAAGATAAAAAGCTGGGAAAAAGTTGAGAGGCGGAGGAGAAAGCCACTGAAGAATGAAACTCTGCACCACCAGCAGAGTCGGAGCACAACTTCATCATCACCAGCTTTGGCTTCCACTTACTGCTTCTGCTTGTAACGGTCAAATTCAGTCAAGATGGGAAACTGTGGGACGAGGGAGGAATCAGCTGTGGTAACGAATGCTCAAGGTGCGTGCTTGTTCGGGTCTCAGAATCCAGATCTTTCTATATTTGTGTTGTGATTTTCAGCTAAGCTTGCAGCTTTTTGATTGAGCAGTTCAGCAGCTGAGCACTCTGTCTTCGTCAGTGAAGAACGGCGAGAAGAAGCAGAATCACAGCCGTTCGATTTCAGATCTGAGCGATCCTTCAACCCCACGCAACTTCGAGGATGCGCGGAAGAATGCGGTGCTGTACACGCACGTCATCGCCTTCACCCTCTTCGAGCTCGAGACCATCACCAAGAGCTTCCGCTCCGACTACATTTTGGGGGAAGGTGGGTTCGGGACTGTGTACAAAGGCTACATTGACGAGAATGTGAGGGTTGGGCTCAAGTCTCTGCCCGTCGCCGTCAAGGTCCTCAACAAGGAGGGCCTTCAGGGCCACCGCGAATGGCTGACGGAGGTCAACTTTCTCGGTCAGCTCCGCCATCCCAATCTCGTGAAATTGATTGGATATTGTTGCGAGGACGATCACAGATTGCTTGTTTACGAGTTCATGTTTCGAGGGAGCCTTGAGAATCACTTGTTCCGGAGTAATTGAGTTCATAATCTTACAAATTTTGGATTTTTTTGATGATTTTTGTTGTTGTTGTTGCTAATTTAAATTTGGTGGGCATTTTAGAGGCAACTGTTCCATTGTCGTGGGGAACGAGGATGATGATCGCTCTGGGAGCTGCCAAGGGACTTGCTTTTCTTCACAATGCTGAAAGGCCAGTTATTTACCGGGACTTCAAGACTTCTAATATCTTGTTGGACTCTGTAAGTGGTGTTTCTTGAGTTTTTAGATTCTACAAGTTAATTTCTCTGCTAAAATACTTGACTTTGTGATGACGTGCAAGCTGCTATTAGTCTTACTGGTTGCATGGGTTTGCAGGATTATGCTGCCAAGCTCTCTGATTTTGGGCTTGCTAAAGCTGGACCCCAAGGGGATGAAACCCATGTATCAACTCGGGTTATGGGTACCTATGGATATGCAGCCCCTGAATATGTAATGACTGGTATGGCATTCTTACATATTGGATATGCTTGATTTAGAGCTTATGTAGTAGCTTGAACATCACGAGTCTTCTAATTGAATTAGTCAAGTGGGAAACAATCTGACTGTTTCCTATAGAAAAATTGCCAACAAGTATCACCAGTATTAGTACCATTTGAGGAATATTCTGCCATAATTCTCTGCTTGCTATGGAAGTATGTTGTAAGCTTATATTTTCAAATCGTCTTTCGTCCTTTCACTAGTGACAGGTTGAGTAAATTTTTTAGATTAAATGGTTTTAAAAGGGGAAGGCTGCACCTGGTATGGTAATGCCAAAGCAGGCTCTTGGGTGAAGGGGAGATCTAGAGATTGAGTAGCTCTTCTTGTGATGAACATGAGCAATAGTGCTTGATGGTCAAAGAGTTTCAACACTGCTTCAGAGAATGACACCTACGTTTACAGTATTCTGAATGCTTGGATGCAGTGCATTTCTGTTTAAATCTTTTCATAAATGCTTGGCTTCTATAGCAACTGGAAATTGAATTCATATAATCTTGACAGCTCCAACGCAATTTCTGTTAAAATCTTGTCATAAATGCTTGCCTTCTATAAAATCTGGACTTGAATACATGGATTCTTGGCAGCTTCAATACACATTTCTTTTCATAAATGCTACATTAAGGAGTTATCAGCTTATGGATGAGGTGTAGAAGTATTAATTCATTTTCATTTAGCTTGGAATCCTAAACCTTAAGCTACACAGACAAATATGGTACACATGCAACGACTCTAATTAGTAACTTAAATAAGTAAGGAATAGAACAGTCCCCCTTTTAGATGTTTTGTTCTTGACTCGTAAGGTTTTGGATTTCAAATGCATTTTATTATTGAAGTGACGAGTGACTTGCAGATTGGAACTTGAGAGTATTGCGATGCCCAACTACCCTGTTTTCTCTGTTCTGTAACTCACTGATTAAAAGTTTTTCTCCAAGGTCCTCTTTTGCTCTTCAAAATTGTATGTATGAACAAATGAAGAAATGCTGACATTTGCTGTGCATGTGTCTAGTTTTGTTGTTCACATAGTGTAGGAATATTTATTTGCATGTATACATGCTTATGTGCTGCTTTTCTGAATCAAATCCTTATGAAATGGGCAGGCCACCTGACTGCCCGGAGTGATGTATACAGCTTTGGAGTTGTTCTCCTTGAGCTTTTGACAGGAAGGAGATCTGTTGACAAGACGAGACCGAGCAAGGAGCAGAACTTGGTAGATTGGGCACGGCCGAAACTGAACGACAAGAGAAAGTTGCTACAAATAATTGACCCTAGGCTGGATAATCAGTACTCAGTTAGGGCAGCACAGAAAGCCTGCAGCTTGGCATACTATTGTCTCAGCCAAAACCCCAAAGCAAGGCCCTTAATGAGTGATGTAGTTGAAACTCTAGAGCCTCTACAAAGTTGTAACGAACCAAGTGAATCATCAACGGGTGGACCATTTGCGATGAGCAGAATCCCTGATTATCGAATGCGTCACAGGTTTCCTAACAATGTAGGTCCAGGTGCTGTTTGTCGATCCCCCAACCCAAACTATTCGCCAGGAGGTCCTGCAGCATGCAGAGTTAGATGAGAATGTCATCTATATGTATACTTGTTTGTACTTTGTATGCGTTATCCCTCAACCTTTTTTTGCAATGACAGAATTTGCTTGTTAAATTATGGATGCATATGTCATTGTTTTCCATATACATAGGGTTGCCGTATTCCTCTACCTTTTGTCATCGTTTCTGTTTGACACCTGCTTGTATTTACGTTTGGTCATGCTTTTGCGGTTATGGAAGTTACATGTGGAAAGCCCCATGTTAAACTCACGCTGTGTGATTTCCCCCCTTCTAATGAAGGAAATAACAGAGCAGGCATCTGTTGAGAATTGAATGTAAAATCTCAAGCCCACCTTAATTCCTAAAGGGTGGATATTTCTTGGTGCATAAGTTGAATAATCAACAGAATTAGGAACTTAAGTGTAAGTGTTATATGCATGGGTTTGTAACTTAAGTGACCGAGACGTGGGGTTCATTTCCCCTTCCTCCAATATTGATTGTAAAAAATTAAAATCAGTATTAGAACACCAAGGATCTTTTACATTCAACAACCCCCTTTCTTCCTTCCATGCCCCTTCAGCTAGGGTTCATGGGCATCAATATTAGAAACTTAATTAGCTCCTTATTTTATTTTCTTGTCTCCAAGTTTACTTGTTTCAAAAAATTTCTTAAGAAAATCTTGTCCACAACAATTGGGTCGGATCTTGATGATGATTCCGTAATGTCCTGCCATATAGTACCATACAGACTGAGACCCTAAATAGAAAAGAAAAAAACCTTTTTCATTGACCTTCTTTCTCTTTTAAAAAATCTCCTCTCCGCTACTTTCCACCACACAAAAATTTATTCGCTCACCACTCTCTCTCTCTCTCTCTCTCTCTCTCTCTCTGGTCTCTCCCTGGCTAGCTACTGTTGTGTCTGCATGTTTGTTTGGTTGACATGGACGACCTCACAAACAGAAAAAATCCCATAAAACTAGTGCCTTTTCTAATCTTCACCGCCCTATTAGCCATCACTCCTGCAATTGGTAAGTAACTTATTTTTCTGTACAACTTTCAGTTTTTTTTTTTTTTTTTTTTTGTGTGGTCAAAACTCTTCAACTTTCAATTCAATCATTCACCGTTAAATACATGATGCGCAGCAGCAGGATCTCATGCCGACGAGTATCAGCCAATACCAAACCAAACAGCTGGGACATTGCAGCCCGTCGGCACGACGGAGTATAGGCTATTGATCGACGTGTTAAAAGCTCCTCCTCATGATCATGATGATATACAACGGCGGCAGAAGCGACGGCGGCTCGCGCCGTACCAGCTGTGCTTGCTGTGCAAGTGCTGCTCGGCCACCACGTGCACCTCCATGCCCTGCTGCTTCGGCATCAACTGCCAGCTTCCCAATAAGCCCTTTGGCGTCTGTGCTTTCGTCCCCAGGACCTGCAACTGCACCAATTGCACAACTTCTGTTTAAAAGCTTAATAGCTTTTCTTCTTCCCTTTGAAATTATATTTAGCTCTCTCTATCCCTCTTTCTTTTTTTCTTTGAAATTATTGTTATTGTTAATTTGAAACTGGTGGGTTTTGTGCCGATGGCTAAAATACAAATGATGACAACCTTGCAGTGTCAGAGAGCTCTGCAAATTATTCGATGTTTAGAAATCTTAAATCAATAACGTCGACCTTCTTTCTCTTGTGTTCTTGTATAAAAATATCATCTTTGAAACACCCCACGTGGGCAACTTGGCGGTATAATAATATATGCTTCGATATATTTTTGCGTACTTTATGTATGCATCGATCCACGCCCATCACATATATTCTTGCTTTGCTCATCATATCATGTATTTTATTAGTGTTCTTGAGTTTTTCTCGGGGTTAGGCCAATTGGTTATAATAGTAAGTCAGTGATTTCGTTCCCTTGCATTCACATCCGACTACTTACTTAGAAATTAGATTAATTTAGACTAGTTCAGGTTATTGCTGGTATATTATATGTGTTGGCAACTTGTTTGCAGAAACCCCATGAAAATGTATGTACAAGTCAAACCTCTTGAATTGAAGGACTGTCAAACTCTTGAAAATGTGGAGAAATCATGTTGTGGGGAAACCCCTTTCACATGTTTAGTTATGATCAATTTTCTTACCCCCCACCCCCAAAAAAAAAAAAAAAAGAAAAACAGAAAAAGGAACAAAAGAATACAAACATGTTTTTTTTAAAAAAAATCTTCTTGATTGGAAAGAGAATACATTTGAATTTGTAACATATTCATCTTCCTCTACAACATTTGAATTTGAAATGGGCCCATTAGTTTATGTTCTGACCACAGAAAAAAGACAACATTGTACCTTTCATCCTTAAAAAAACAACAAACCACCAATTAATCTTGATGCGTATGTGGTCATTGAGCCTTGATTCTCTTAACTTGACTAATGAATCTTAATGGGATGACGAAGACCATGTATTGATAATTTAAAGTAAGTGGGAGAGTCGTCCTTCAATTAATTTTCTGGGTGATATCCTCGGCTATGTAGCTCCTTTGTATGGCGCGCATGCCAAAGGCAGAAGACCTCAATTATCCATTTCTTTGTCCATATACCATGGCGTTCCTTTCGAAAGCAACTTTGTACAAGGACTTTGCTGCCACTATTAATTTTAATTTTAATTTTAATTCGAGTTTAATTTGGCACCACTCATTTCATCAATGAAAGAAAATTTAAAACAAAAATTAATTAGTATATATTCTCATAGGGATAATGCGAATTAGTGTACGTTTGTGTGCTAATTAACAACATTATCTCTCGTATTCCATCTCCCTTCCTTTTCCCTAAAGTTTGTTGTTAATCCAAATGAGTAAGGGTATTATGCTTAATTAATTACTGGAATACTCTAAATGTCAGCTCTCCAGAGATTAGATGTCACTAGCGCAAATTCTTACTCCTCCCTCCCACTCTCTCTCTCTCATCAGCATCACCACACTGAGAAAAGTTAACTGAAAACTAATCAAAACGATTACTAAAATTAACAACCACCTAAACAAAGTGATGTCTCAATCAAATATGCCACCTGAAGGGTGATATTCTTGTAACCTTGATTAAGTGGCTGGATAATGGTGTAATTAATTTACTTAATTTGAAATAGGGTGCTGTTTCACTATATATTTTATGCCCGACCATGAACATCTTTAAAATAATGCTACGTATTATCCACTATTAGAAGTAAAACGGTCGTTAATCGTTATCCGCATTGCCGCTATTACTTAATCCAAGTTTTTTTTTAATTTTTTTTTTTCTTGTTCATGTGAAGAATAGGATGACCTAATCTAACTCAATACCTAACTTGATGAAGCTTTTCGAGTTTTCGATGGTTATGTTAATGTTAATTAATTAGGGCCACTCACTTCAATAATATATATATATATATAATTCGCACTTTGCATATGTCTTAATCTAATCGTATAGAGGAACTGATCCAACCCTTTTTAATTTGTGTGTTGCATAGTCATACCACTATTGCTTTACCACAGGCGTGAGTTCATGATTTTTCTGGTCATGATAAGACAGAACTAGTTAATCCATTCCCATAATATGCCACGTACAAATAAGAGGAACGTGCATTTCATTTAAATAAGACTATATATGTATTATCGACTTATTCAAGCGGTGAGTTTTATGATATTTGCGAACTTGCATATACTCTTAGGTCTCGTTCGGTGGCTCAGCCTAAATTGAACTAATGTTCTAGTTGTTATTTGATAATGAACTTGTAAATTTTATCTAGAGGAGTGAAACTCATAAGGACTGATTTGAACTCAATTCCAATTCAGTCTTGACTGAGCCACCAAAAGAGACTTGCTTTACATTAACCTATGTCATACATACTCAGATGAGGTTGTGAAGTCTAGCTTGTATTCTTGTAGGATAGTTCACCTTTTCACAATATATATGTATATCTTCTCCCTCTTGAACTTTCCATATTAGTAAAAAGACATCATCTTCTTTTCATGTTACTAACACTATGGTATAAAAACATTGATGCTTAATTAAAAGTATTTATAAGTGGATAGGAACTCATTGGAGAGAAGCCGGATTTATGTGTATGGGCTACATAGATGGCTGCTTATCACCTAACTCGGTCCCTTTGTTTGAATGGATGTCGGCTTCCAATTCAGAGGCTAGCTTTTTTGTTATTGTTCTACACGTACATGATAAAAAAGAAAAATAAGTATATCGTGAAGAAAAATCCCAATTGAATATACCCTTTAGTTTATCGTGAAGAAAAATTAACTAATGATTTTGGAAAAGTTGTATTGTTTAATGAGAGAATGTGAACCCGCGCTTAACAAATAAGTGATTGGTTTGTGAGTGCTTTAGTGACTCAAAAACCACGGGCATGCACTAAGCAACTTGCTTAATTAAGAATCTCTAAAACCAACTGTATTATATTAATTGGCACTAATGGTATTGTGAAGGAGCTGGTAAACTTCTCGAAGTTACTACTTATCCATCTGTCATTCCCATTTACATTCTCCCTTGCTTAATCAAACAAATTTCCGGTGGTTTATTGGCTACTTGGTACTTTTTTATACGTTTTTAATGACCGATTAATCGACTAATTACATTGTGAATGATCACGACAGACCGCAAGACAACAAGAAATGTCCTGGTTTCCAACTAACCCCACGAAAATTTCTTCTTGCGTTTGAATTAATGCTGGTCAGAGAGACATTAATTAAGCTTAATTACCAATAAAAAAAATTCCCAATTGAAATATACAAATGGGAATGTTTGGACCAAAGTTTCAGTATGACGACAAAAGGAGTCACATGCATGCAGGAAGTTTGAATTAATGAGCATCAGCATTTTCACTTGGAACCTCAGATTCTTTTTGGTGTAAATCATGCTTAGCCAGATCGATCGAGGTTTACAGTAATCATGACTTGTAAAGCAAACCAGACAGTTTGGCCCATGAGGTCATCATAAATCCATAGTCCCCACTTTGTCTGCCTGGCTTTAAAATGCCGGCCTTTGATCGATGCATTGCTTAGGCCCTCATGAAAACATGAAATTGATGGTGTCTGCTAACGGATTCACAAAGCCAAAAATATCAAATCATTACTTGGCCTACTCCTCGACCATGCACTTAATGTGCCTTCCCAAAGATCCAACATTACAACTAAAAAACATTCTGTTAAGACTTTTATGAAGAAAAAGTCGATCAAAATTTACGTGATTATAATTTGACATAATATGTTATTTGACCGTCAATCACAACTGGACTACACAAGAACACTGTATATATCGTACGGAACATGGCAGAATATAAAATTAGCAGGTAGCTAGCTAGGGTGGCCACTTGTGAGGTCAGAGAGGTCATGTAATTTTGTATATAAAGAAAAAGAAAAATGAAAAAATAAAGGAAAACAGGCAGGCTGATAAAGCTCTCTCTCTCTCTCTCTCTTTGTTTCCACGTACATACGTTCTCTCATAGTATATACCAAATCATCCCAAGGCTTCTGGCTATATATATACATATCTTTGGACCTAGCTTTATTCTTAAGTTCAGGCACAAAACCAAAGCTAATCTATTGTCGCTACTCATACCCAGCTATATTCCTCTCTCTCTCTACCAATATTCATCTCTCTCTCGTCTCTGAGACCTTTTCCTCTCATCTTCTTGAACGGCTTCTGCTTTTGAACAGCTAGCCATGTCTAGGATACATCCGGCTGCAGTGAATAGATACCAGGATCATGATCAAGATCATCCGCTGGAGCTTCAAGATGTTCATGAACATCGTGTGCCTCCCTCTGCGCTCACTGTGTGGAAGAGATCCAGCATGAGTTTCCAGGGGACTGATGGATTTACAGTGTTCGATGACCGCGGAATATTGACTTTCCGAGTAGACAACTATTCGAGAAAAAATTGTTGTGTTAGAGGAGGGCTTGTCCTAATGGACGGAGTCGGAAGGGCCTTGCTGACCCTCAAACCCCAGGTACTTATTGGCCTTCCTCCTCTTTAATGTAGTAAATATCATTGTTTGAAACGGCATATACGTGTTTTAGGCCTAGTTTAGACTATCGTTTGTATAAAAAATAAAATAAAATAATGGTTTATAACCGATACATGAAAGCTTAATGAATTTGATTTTGTATGAACAGATGTTGAGCATGCAAGACCAATGGAATGCATATAGAGGAGAAGATGGGTGTGGAAAGAGCCCAAAATCCAGCAGGGTGTTTGCCATGAGAAGTGGGTCTGGCCTTTTTGGCAGCAGCAACAAAAGTGAAGCAGCTGAGGTGTTCATGGGAGCTCATGCAACTGGCACCCCAGATTTTAGAATCGAGGGTTGTTTTGGGAGACGAAATTGCAAAATCAGAAGCCGCAGTGGACAATTGGTGGCCAGTGTAGCTAGAAAGAGAGTAAACAATACAGTCTTGCTTGACAATGATGTGTTCAACTTGGTGGTTCAACCAGGCTTCGACCTTGACCTTATTATGGGTTTTGTAATTATCTTGGATCGGATTTGTGGGAAGCCATTTACCCCAATTTTGTGTTCTTAATTATCTTGTGATGTACAGAAATAAACCCATGTAAACAAGATACCATCTTTTTACCCCACTCAATCTCATATTTTGTACAAGAGACGTCACTCCAATTTTCTTGTATTTAAATAAAAGTGGAAGTGTTTCAATGCCTTCTTTTGCTCTATCATCCCATTATTAATTTCCTTGATTCTTTAGCAAATTAGCAACTTCATTCAGATCAGAAGTTTTCAGTGAGACAAGACACACATACAACCGTCTCATAGGAGCCGGAAATTTCCTTGTATTTCACCCTAAGGCCAAAGGATACCACATACTCTTGATCCACAATGATCGACTTGTTAGGCACATGGCATGTTATGGAACAGATGGTGGTGTCATTACAATGCAACACCACATGTTACTAATATTGCCGAAAAAATTTAAACAGGGCAAGTTTTCTGACGAAAAGAATGAAACCAAACTCAGAGAAAGATTACCTTGTTCATGCATATAGAATTTTCTTTCTTTTTTAAGAACAGCAGGAAGATTATATTGCATCTGTAGACGTGCTAAATTTGTACTTATGTGAAAAATAGGGGGGCTGAACTTGCAAACTCTGAAAGGCTTGTCCTGTTCGACCTGCCAAACTAAGTTTTTCTCATGTTCTAGGTTCTGAATTGAATCCGAAAATAGTGTTCTAAGCAACAAAATGATAGCTGCATGACAACATGACGCAGGAATAACATGTAATCTAGAAACTGTGAACGACAGCATGGGAATATTTTGTAAGGCTGAATTTCGTGAAACTGCCCAAGTGGGTCATCTGTGATGTTAGTACTATTCCGTAAAACTGCCAAAATAACAGGAGCAGCCAATATCTAGCCATGTATTTGCCTCCGAGATCGCCATCTCTTAGTCACCAGTAACATAAGACTTGCCTTCATAATACTTTTTCTCACTTGCTGCCTTCTTCTCATTACGTATCTGCAGGAAGGGAAAAAATAAAATAAAAAATAAGGCTGAATTTTATTAGGTTTGAAGCATGTCAGAAAAGCAGAAATCAAGGAATACCAACTAAAACAATAGATATATTTATATGTTTAAGCATATGGACAACATATAATACTTTATGATTGGATACAAATTTGATCAAAAGAGTATCACAAAGAAGGTCAGGTATAAAGGGGACCTGGTATGCTTCATGATTGGATACAATCCTCCTAATTATCGTGGAAGTAGTGATATCAAGGGGGCTGTTTAAAACTTTGAAGATACCCATACTGATTGGAACTTCATATGGATTGCCTTGTTCCTGCATAAGAAAAATATGTAACTAACCAAAGCATCCCGGCACCTCCACTCCATTATTAAGCAATAGAATAATATACATCACCACGACCAACTTGTTTCACAATTTACCTTCTGAAAATTGTTATTCTCTGCTACCGTTCCATGGACAACTAAAGAGATGTTAAAGGTGGTGATCTGCAGGCAAAAAATACTATGAGCATTTTTTCAAACAAGCCAAGTTGACAAAACTGAGGAAAGTACTTCAGTAAGACAATTTATTGGTAGGTGCAATTTCAATAAGCATTAATGTTTACCACAAGCAAACCAGAAGAATCAAGTAGAAGAATGAAAAGTGACTAAGTGCATAATGAAGCAAATTCAATACAAATAAGAAGACAAGCTGACCATGTCTTTTGAAATTTCCCATGGAGCACCAATTATAACTTCATCCACATGCCGGCAAGCCAGAACACTCAGGCTTCTTTCATGAAGGTTCATGATCGGACGATGTGCTCCTCTATGAGCACTGCAGTGAAATTATTAGAATGAAGGCCATCACCTATAAAGTGTAGAAAGCTCGTATCTAATACAATTAAACTATTCGTACTTGGGAAAAAAAAAATTTCACAATCAGAGGTTGCAATACTAAACAAGCTGCTATAAGATACAGAAATTCATGAATTGGTCAGCGATATTGCTTTCCTATTTTACAGTTATGAGTTGCTTCCCAGAAATTAATATAACATGTAAAGTTCGAGAATGAAGTTGCATTTCATGAAACATCAAAATGTGAACAACGGATCATTGCAGTAAAAAAGATAAAATACACACAGGCCATGTGTAGGAAAAAAGTTACAAATAACAAGGGTACCAACCAAAAAGATACGTGAAGTAAATCAACTTTCATAAAAGACAACTGATACTCAGCCAAGTTTTCCAAAGTGGTGACAAGGGATAAGTTTCTGTCACAGCCATTGTGCTACTCAAAACCCATTTTATGAGAAAACTAGCACAACGGAGTATAAAATGACTCACCAACTCTTTCTTTTTCACGTGAAAAAGATGACATACACACATGCATGTGTGCTAAGAAGTTCTGTGGACATACAATGTTGGGTGGATTTTTTATTTTTTATTTCTTTAATACAAGCGATAGTCTCAACTACACGCCATAGTAAATGTCAGGTGGGTTTTTAAATTTTGGTCAAACTACATATGGATCTAAAGTGGGTCCAAGTGATTAAACAGTTACAGAAACTGACAAGGGAAGGTTTTACCATTTCAAAATAGCAACAAAATGTGTAGATAGCTTAAATAAAAGAATCAAACTTGATAGCCCTTCCAGCAATAGGGAAGCAGGAGACCAAACCTGACAGTCTGATCAGTGTGTATTCCAACAAGAAGAAAATCCCCAAGCTCTCGCGCAATCCTTAAAATCTATATGAAAAGGATGGACATGTAACCAAACAAGTAAGTTTTTTATCCCTTAATTGTTAATTGCCTACATTGAATAGTGAAGCAAATAAAGGATGGTAATTAAGCGAAGAGAAAAAGGAAAAAAGTCTGTTAAATTCTAAAGCAAATTGGGAAAAATAAGAGAAACAACTAGAAGACCTTAGTAGCACGGAATATAGGATGAACAAAAAAACCAACAGGAAGTTAAGGACAACGGTGCTGTTATAAAATGTGTGTGCGTGTGGTGTGTCAGAGAGAACTAAAGACAGGCTTAGTTTTATTTTGCTTTTGTTTCCCAGGTTTTTCCTTGTGTACAAAAAAGGGGGCCAGTTTGGAAATTATTGGGAATCAGATATGTAATCTGCCCAGCCAAAAGATCAATATAAAAGAATTTGGAAAGATACTTTAAGAAGAGAGGAGGATAAATAGCATGTGAGCAAACTCATCTGCACTACCTCCACATGTCCAGCATGGAAAAGATCAAAAGCACCATCTATATAAACTATGCGTGCGTCCGACTGAGGACCCTGCAATCAGGCATAAAACATACATTAAAAAATGACAAAGTTCACCTCACCAGTAATATATGTGATATAGAAATTATGTTTTTTCTTTCCTTTTTGTTCCCCCTTGTTTAAAAAGAGACTTCATCCGAGAAATCAACGCAAGGGATTGAGTAATAAAAATTGCCCTCTGTCTGTGATGTAATATCCACAAGATATAAACTAGGATATTCATAGAAATTCAGGTAGCTAAAACAGACAAAATGCACTTATTTATTTGAAACAACCAGTAAAGAAAGTTCAGAGATTACGTACTTTCCCATTCGAGAACTGAACAATTCTTCGAGATGTTGGTAGGAAATGAGACACACGAGTTCCGCTTCCAGATCCACCATCTTCAAATTTCTGACTGTGACCATGGCTGAATTGTCTCTGCAAGGAAGAATGGTGCTGGTTCTCACTAACCGATCTCTCTCTTACACAGAGAAGCATACGACCTGTTCACAGCATTACCAAGAAACAAAATTAGACTAGCAAATTCCAAATGCCCCAACAAAGGATTAACAACTGTGATTATGTAAAGAAGATTAGTATTTAATCAGCTTCTGTGCTATAATTAGACTTAAAATACGCATATAAATGGGCATAACCGAGTGAGATGGATAGAATGAAACAAACCAACAATGTCTGTGCTGGAGACCCCTTCTGTGCGTTTGATCTGCTTGTAGCGACCAGCCTTCTTGGCAAGAGCATAAGCGTCAGTTCCATCAGGAAGAACACATGGGTCATCGCCATGAATGATATAGTCTATATTGTATTCATCAAACAGTTTCTTCATGAACTCTTCGGTTATAGCATAAGGTGCATCCGGAATAACCTCATCTACCCATTTCACAGCATTAACCATAATCATCCTACAACACAACACAAGCACAGATGCATTCACATAAACCCAATAATTACGAAGCTAATGCAGCTGATTTAAACAAAAAGCTGGTACCTTTCATCGAGAGGAGTAACAGGGGGGCCTTTGTTGGCGATGATTTCAGCGTCGCTGACAACGCCGACAACCAATTGGTCGCCGAGGGCACGTGCCTGACGGAGCGCGTTGCAGTGGCCGTAGTGCATCATGTCAAAGCAGCCGTCCATGTAAACGCGGACAGGTCTGTTCTTCTTCCTCCGCCATGGAAATCCCAGAGGAAGTTGAGGGCCATGACGTTCCTGTGAGCCTAACAGAGACACCCCAAAGCCGACCCCCACCGCCACCACCACCCCTCCGACGAGGCACGTGGCTAGAAACCTCGCCCAGCTTCGCGCGTTCTCTGAGTTCCCATCTTCCAAACCCATTTCGTCGCTTCTGGATTTCACAAATCAAATCAAGTGAAAGAGAGAGCTTTAGTCATCTGATTTACCCAAAATTCCTTTTCTTCTATCGAATCAGAAAACCGAATAAAGTCGGCATTTTTTCCTTCTGATGAAAAATTGTCGGGTTCGGGGTTCCCCACACTTTTCTCGTTCTCACTCAATTTTCTCACTTTTTTTTTTTTGTGCGGCGGATGATTCTTGGGCCTGTGCCACCCAAACTTTCAATTTTTATTGGGTCAAAAACGACTCTTTTATAGGATTTTCTTAAGCCCATTTTCTGTTATGTTTATTGTTTCAGAAAAAAAAAAAAAAAAAACACTGCATCGGTAAGTGGAGGGCGGTGGGTGGTGGCGTGGAGTTGACTCAAGTACTCTTTGTTTGGTTTATTCCTTTTCAAATTCCGTTATTCCACTGTAACTCCTCTTCCTCTTCCTCCTGTTGCCGACGAATAGAAACGAGAGAGAGAGAGAGAGATCGCGTTGGACTGGTCTTGCTTACAAGTAACAATGGCTTCCACCGAGGGTATAGTACCAATAACCAGGGCTTTTCTGG